AGGTTCAAATGAAACCTTAGGGCTCCTTAGTCTGATGTTGAGCAAGCTGTCTGTTGCTTGTCAATGAACTCAAGTGCCAAACAAAGCTGGTAGAGTTTATAATAATTTGAAGTTGGTAAATCATCTTCTACGTTAGAAATAACATCAGAAAAATACTTATTAAAATTATGGCAAAATCAAGTGTAACAAAAACAACTCTGCTCCTACTTTCATATACTTTTATATTTCAGTTACAACAGTTCTGCCATGTATACTTTGAAAAGACCTGATTACATTTTCTGAATATGTAAATAGTTTATTTCTGTACTTTTCAAATCCATTTCTCTGCTGGCCCTTGTTTTAACCTGAAATAAATAAATAAATTTCCTTGACATCCTTATAGTCGTGTTTGCAAGAATTCTAACAGCCATCTCTAATGTGTCAATATCCAGCAGTGTTCAGTTTAATTGATTAAAGCATTGTTGTACTAGGAGAAAAGCAGAGTTTCTCACTTAATTCTAGATTTTAATGGGTGTGTGACAATCTAAACTTCTATGGTCCATGGAGACTGACAAAAGCTTTCAGAAGTCAATTACTCATCTAACCTAGTCCTGCATTGTGTATAAGATAAACTGTGTTTCCAGGTTAGCTATTGCTGTCCAACACAACAGAGAAAAAGACTGACATCTAACTTTCAGACTGCTCATGCTGATACGACAAAAACCACTTCCAAGATGGAATTTATTTATAGAAGTTTGCATTCATTTATGAAATAGTCTTAAAACAATTCAAAACTGATTTTAATCACTTACAATTACATTTCATTAATAATAGCATTTTCTGTCAACATTGTGAAATACTAATGGAAAAGCAAATCTGTTTTTCCATACATGCTGATATATTTCCTCTAAATACCACATTGATTTAATAAGAGAAATCTTAAGCTATGCGTAACATGATCCTACATTTTTTACAGCCATGGCAGTGTTGTGAGAACATTATTTTTTAGCAGAGACCATACATTATACATATGTTTTTTTGCCTATCCTCTCTGACCATGCCATTAAGATGCTTGAAAAATTTGTTTTCATTGCTGGAAGCCTCTTGGATTCCCAGAATCTTTGCTCTCAACTTTCTGTTTTCCTGAAGTAGCAGTCTGGATTTTGTTAAAACATATAAATAACTGAAGATTATGGTATTTTAATGAATTTCAGAGTGTGGGATTTTAGGTACTTTCAGAAATAGTAAGAAAAAAAGTCAATCACTTATATTATAGCTTTTAACAGATAAAATAGGCATGTCCAACATCTGATTGAGATATGTACACATCAGAGATATGTACATGACATTTTGTCCCCCTCTGTCTAAGTACAGTAACATTATGCTACAAGATCTTGTTTACTTTTTGGTTCCAAAACTAAGCTCTTGGCAACACAACATTCCAATGTCATCCAAAAGTATGGCTGGTGTACGGTCTGCTAAGCACAGCATTCATTTTCTTAGGTATTTAAAAAGATGCATGTGAATCCCTGTGACTGGGGAGATTTTACACTCTAGGTGTCTTGCTGCTGAATGAATGTTCCTGCCGTGAGGTGAGGAACAAGGTAAGAGTTACAAGCTCCATCTATGTTCCACCAAAAGCCCCTCAGGTGCCTTTCCATCTGCTGCATTTCATTTCGTCTCTACAGCTGACACATTTTTCATAATGTATTAATATAGAAACTTCTATTTTCCTTTTTTAAAATACATATTTTAATGTCTGGTGGCCAATACTACAGGTTTTCATAATCTCCAAAATGTGCAAAGGTGAACCAGGTTTTTAAAATCACTATCTCTTTGTGAATTTCCATGCTACTAATCTCTTCTTCCTACACATTTACCTATAGAGACCATAGATCACAGTCATTGTTAAGCTGTGGTAATAAAAACATTGCTTTTTATTGTGGTGTTTTTTCTTTTTGAACAATGGTGTGACTCACCTTTTTCTTTGGCATTAAAAATATTGTATAGGTTACATAAAGCAAAATTTTTGTATCCTCATTAAAATTGTTTATCTTGTTCTTAAGACTAAATTCTAAAGACAGAACAATGTTGGACAGTTATACCTGCAATAAAAAGACCTAACTGGCCAATTTTGCAAAGAGATAATACCACTTTGTAGTGACTTCCGCACTTTCAGATGTGAAAGTCCAAGTGCTAATTTAAAAATTTAGTTTTTTATTTTTCAAATACTTAGAAAAAATACTATTTAAGTAATCTCAGTCTAAATACCGGTGCAGAAAGCATTCTAATTTGCTTAACCAAGTAAAATTGTATAACAATTATTCTTTTAAGTCTTGTCAGGCATCATACAAGAGCTGTCTGGTCTACTTCAAGTTTGATGGAGTTAAGACCTGCTGGGCCAAAAAAAGTCTGTTATCAGCCTTACACTATGGGAAAACAGAGAACAGTGGTGCAGCCCTGAGGTACTCCACGCTGAGCTGCAGAGTCAGTGCCTATCATTGGATGGGCAGACTTTAAAAAGATGCAGTCAACAGCTCAAAGTCCAGGTGGAGATCAGTGATGAGTGTTGTTCCTCAGGGATCGGTATTGGGACTGGTGCTGTTTTGCATCTTTGTCAGTGACATGGACAGTAAGATTGAGTGCACCCTCAGCAAGTTTGTCAATGACACTAACCTGTGTGTAGCAGTCAACACACAGAAGGGAAGGTATGCCTTTCAGTTAGACCAGGACAGGCCTGAGAGGTGTGCCTCTGTGAACCTCATACAGTAAAACAAGGCCAAATGCAAAGTCCAGCATCTGGGCCAGGGCAATCCTATTCGGTTGGGTGGAAAGGGGATCAGGAGCAACCCTGATGAAAAGGACCTGGGGGTGTTGATGAGAAGCTCACCATGAGCCATAAATATGTGCTTGCAGCCCAGAAAGCCAGCTGTATGATGGGATGCATTGAAAGAAGCATGACCTGCAGGTTGAGAAGGGTGATTTTCCACCTCTGTTCTGCTCTTGTGAGACCTCACCTAGACTACTGGGGCTGCCAGCACATGAAGGAAACAGACATAATACAGAACAAACCCAGAGGAGGGGCACAAAGATGATCAAAGGGCTGGAGCACCTCTCTTATGAAGACAGGCTGAGGGAGTTGGGATTGTTCAGCCTGGAGAAGAGAAGGCTCCGGGCAGACTTTATCGTTGCCTTCCAGTATCTAAAAGGGACCTACAGAAAAACTGGAGAGGGACTCTTTATTAGGGAGTGCAGAGACAGGACATGGCTTTAAACTAAACATGTTTATGATGTATGTTTAGATTAGATATAAGGAAGGAATTCTTCAGTCAGAGGGTGATGAGGCACTGGCACAGGCTGTCCAGAGAAGCTGTGGATGCTCCATCCCTGGAAGTGTTCAAGGCCAGGCTGGATGGGACCTTGGGCAACCTGATCTGGTGGGAGGTGTCCCTTCCCACAGCAGGGGGTTGGAATGAGGTGATTTTTAAAGTCCCTTCCAACCCAAACCATTCAAGGATTCTATGATCACATTCTGGATAGCACCAGCATTTACAGTAATAGCCTTCATGTTTACAGTATTAACTTCTGAAACATAAACAATTTTGAGAAATATTTCATCTTTGACCTAGACATTTTAGACAAAAGAACTTATAGGGAACTTACAGGGGAGGAAGTGATCTTTCTGATGGGATTAGAGATGTCTACACTGAAGATGTCTACACATGATGTCTAGACCAAAGGTCCTCACTGCATGGAGTAGTACTGAAAAGCTGTGCTCTGATTTCCTCTGACTAGCATGATTTCATATATTTCTGTATGGAGAATGTTTAAATTCAGGTGAGATGAAATCTAGCATCTGCCCATGCAGATAAACCCCATCGGACTGTTCCACTGGCCACTGAAGTCCATGTGTGACTGTTTATTGACCCCTCTGTATCAGAAATCATCCCTTTCTTAATGAAAGATACACTAATAAAGAATAAATGTTGGGTTTCTTAAGCTCAGTTGCCAATGCTTTCTCAATTGTGGCACAGCTTTGGGAATACATTAGCAACATTAAAAAAAAAAAAAATGTCCCACATTAATCCTTGGATGTGAGTTTGGGTACTGGCCATTTTCCTTTCAACTGTTGATTTAGTAACAGAAGACCAATTAAATCAATATTTTTTATTTAGCAAGGAAAAACACTAAAACAATTTTTTGTTATTATTTATTTATTTATTTTAATATGTGGAGGCTTTTGAAAAATTCCCAAAAAGGGGTTGGACTGAAGTCAACTGTGTACTGATTACTCCTCCAAAGTATGGGCTGGAAAAGTATGTGCCATTCAGACTTCTTGGAAAGTAGGTATCAACCCATTTAAAAAAAAAAAAAAAAAAAAGTCTCACTCATGTTATCAAGAGTGTTACAAATTACTTTCTGTAAGCAATATCCATATGGTTGTTGGGTCACACAGTGCACACAAGGTCAAGATTTTCATGGACAGAAACAAATGTTCTCTATCCCCAAGAGAGTCCTCAGAACCTGGCTAAGTTACTATTTCATGGAGAGGTAAAGTTAGTGCATGCAAGCACCAGCCAAAAGGAAATGATTTCTTCTGTTCCAAAGCACCAAGTATTTTGGATAGTCAGATGCTCTTGCCATGAGGTGAGTTGTTTAGGATTTCCACATCTACTGTAGAGTGTTGTAACAACTGCAACATTATTACATAATTCCAGGCTGTTGGGGAAAAATGAATAAAGTAGGCCAGATCAAACATCCAGCTGCAGATTCAGTGTTTAATTACCAAATCATCTGGATCTGGAGAAGTGAGAGAAAGTTGTTTATATAGAAATAAAATCATGTTCCAAAATCATGTTCCATCTTGATATGCTACATCCTTCTGGGACTCTGACGTTACATTGTTAAAGAGGCTCTTCTCTTGTTGCATGCAGAATTGTTTTGTACTCAAGCCACAGATGACATTTCACTAATATTGCCTGGAAGAGATCCCTAAGGCCTTTAAAATGAGGTACAATGTATTCTGGGAAAGAACTCTGTTTTATTTTGCTAACTGAAGATCATATGTGACACAAAAGCTATTAATAGCTATTAATCTTTAAAAACAACAATAATAATTTTGCAGTTCTCCATACCTGGTCATAGACTTCATCAAATGTGCTTCAATATTACAACCAATTACAAAATTACAACCAATATTTAGTAATGAAATTCTGTCTTTATTTTACTAATTATTGCTTATTACTGAATATCAAAAGTCAAATTTTCAGTTGCATGACTAGGAATTTTTAAGCACATGCTTCAATTTCAGTAAAAAAAATATGGAAGCTACATATAAGTTCTGTTTGTCATGAAAAGTTTTTGTCAGCTAATGTTTTTGCAGTGTTGAAAGAATGTTAATGTGGAATGATATGACAAATGTCTCAAATTAGTTACAAATACAGACTAATGAATCAAAATGTCTTAGCCGTGGGATCAGTAACACTATAGTATCTTAATAAAAAAAAAAACATCCTACACACAGGAAAAAAAAAAGTAATAATAGAAAACAAATTAGAAAATATTCCTACCAGGAATATTGTCATTGGTTGGAGTACATATGTAGCTTATAATTTAAAACAAGTTAAATATTTCAGAGTAGTATGCTTTGTTTGCTTTGCTGTTTGAGAAAAACGGGGCCTACATAAGGTGTAAGATGAGCCTCTCACCTGAAAATCTTTTGACTTTCATGCAAAAATATTGACCTTCTGAATACAAAGTCAACTTAAAAAAAAAAAAAGTGAGTTTTACAAATAAACGTAACTTTTTCAGAATTATAACCCAAGTTAGACCCTATGACAACCAGTTATGGTATGTTAAGCACTATAATCACAATTGGATGAATAGTTTTACATTATTTTTCCATCTGATTTCTTTTTCTGGACCATAAAAATTGTTTTGAAGTTTTGAAGTTTCCTTAAATACCCAATAATGGTGTGATTTTACTAATGTCAGCAGTCTAACGGCAACCAGGCTAAACAGTAAGAAAGATAAGTTTACACTGCCAAAGAAAAGGTGTCATTTTTTCCCCCCAGAAAATGACAGTAACTAAATTTTAAAATACTATTTTTACAAGTCCTTCTAAGTAACAAAGGCTGAAAAGTACTAAAGTGCAAATAATAACTAGCGCTGCCTCTTTGGAGTGAGGCAGATTATTTAAAATTCAATATCTTGTGAATTTTTGGGAGTAGGAATGGAAAATAAGTATCTCAGATGACAGTCTGTCTGTATGGAAGAATGCACAAAATCTTATTTACCTGAACACAGGAGACAACAAAGCATCACAGACAGTTTCTCAATTGCCTCCTCAGACCTCTCTCAGTTAGCACTGAGCTCCACAGGTAAAAATCCCAGCTGTATCAAGACCAGTGGCAAAATGAAGAGCTGACTCCAGCACAACTGAGGTTTCACCTGAGGAAAGTAGCCAGAATGGTGCCAATACATTAACCTCTCAATTTTGAAAACCTCTGATTTTGATGGCTCAGAATCATTCCCTCATCATTTATAAGTAAAAGAGAGTGAAGTGTGCTTTGTAAAAAATCCATTAAAAGGAGGCAACAGATGGCCATTATCTCCCTAATAATGTTTAATTATTCATGTAAATATGCCATCGGCATTATTTTAGTCACAGAAACCAAGGCCGTGGTTTAAACAAGCGAGTGCAAGTTTGGAGAGCCTCCATTTCTTTGTGCACAGCCTGAGAAAAAGCACAGGACCTTGCTCTCACAGGTAGCATGTTCGATCCTTTCTGGAACAACTTGCGTAATGAAAAGCTCAGCTGCTGCTTCTCCCAGCTGGGTCTCCTCTCTGTGAACAACAGTTTTGGCTGTGCTGGTCAGTAACGCCATCACTTCCAGAGAATCTGTTCTGTAGTTGTAGTTTCTCCACAGAAAATAAGCTTACTGTGGTGACATGTTGAGCAGTATTCCTTAGCTTGTAATCTTTCCAGGCTGGTTGTTTTTTTGTCTGGTAAGAAGAGAGAATGAAACTCACAATTTAATATTGTTTCGCCTTGTGAATTTATATTAGAAACACTGGAGAGCTCTGGGAACCCCCATATAACACTTCTTGACATCCTGTTTGAATTTCTGTAGGTATTATTCTTTGCGAAACATGAACCTCCTAGGACAGTTATGGCCTTTTTTGGTCTCATACCAATAATGCCTCCAGCTGAGGCACAGGAAGTCCAAATTGCTCTTCAAATTAAATCAGGGGAAACCTTGATTCCTTGCTCGCCTCAGGAAAAGTTAATGGGAAACAGATGCACACTCTCATGAAAACATTACATTTTATATTTATCTACTCTTTGTTCATCTTTTGGCCTACTGGATTAAAATGTTAATATACATATATATATATATATATATTATTTTTTTTTCTTCTTTAATTAGTATTGCGTTTGGTTTTACAAAATACTGATGATTTCATCAAAACTGAAATTTATGTCCTCTGGGAAAAACAGTAGCAAAAGTACTATTCATGATCCAAACTGATACAAAAAGATGAAATACCTAATTGTCTTCTGTAACAAAATAGTCAATCTAGACTCAAATGAAGTACTTTGTTTTGACTCAACCCAACAACTGTCTACTGAAATAACGCTCCCCTTAACAGAAAATTAAGATCTAGCTTAGATTTTACACACCACTCTGTTCTCTACAAAATTATGAAATCTATTCACTAGAGGCACACCTTCGGTGCTGACAAAACTGGCTTCCAGGTATCCTTTATCAAAACTTCCCAGATAACATTTGAAGATCATCAGTTAGGTAATTACATGCCAGAAAACAAGTGAGCAGTTGTCAGTGACAGAATCAGAAAGAAATAAAAAAAAAAAAAAAGGAAAAAAAAAAAAGTACCATTCCTGAGCTGGTTTAAATTGATTCTTTTTCTTTGTTGTATTTCTCAGGAGTATGAATGAATAAGGCTAACATCCTTCTCCTCCCTCTGGGAAGTACACAAATACTCTTGCAAAGTAGAAAGCATTTTGTAGGAGTTTTGTTGATGACTGTGCTGCCTAGTATATACTAGTCAGCAATACTAAGTCATGTGTTGTAAAAATAAAGCAAAATAGAAAAATATATATATTTATTTGTGGAAAAAAAATAATAAATTTAAATTCTTTTCAAAGCCTTTGTGTGGTTCAGAAATGTGGATAAAAATTGGTTTTAGCCGAAAACTGAGGAATCTGGCTGTCAGGTTAACACTACATTTTATAAATACAGTACAAATAATTCATGTCTCAGCACCTGACAATATATGGCTAACATTCTGAATTTGGTGATATTGCCCTCACCTGCAAGCAAGTAAGTGAAGGGTTAACCGGGCTTATCCATATTTCAAAAAAGCAAAGTCAGGAACACTTCACAACACTGAATGTTACAATCTCAGTCTGAAATTTATTTTCACTGTGGCATGAAAAGCCAGTATTTAACATCTGTCATTTTTATAACCTGACATGTTCACCCAGCTGTATCAGCACACAATGTTGTTAGTTGATGCTTCTCTCCACTTTGCTTTCCCATGTCCCTTGAACACTGGGAGTAGGCAAGTCCTCAATTTACTTGTCATTGACTGCTGAAAGTCCGTTACTTCAAAAGTTATTTATGAGGCCTCTTATCAAATGACCAACTCCATCTCCCAGCTTTGAAAGGGATATACCCTCTCTCTGCTCCCCACTGTTTCTCCAGAAATATATGACATCTTTGAAAAAAGGGGCTGGTCCAGAATGTGTGCCCAGCCAAATGGAGCCCAGACCCCAGTCACACTGATATAAAATCAGAAGGTCTCCTGTGTTTTAAATGAGGTTGAGTAACCTCATATTCACAGAATCACAGAATCACAGAATTTCTAGGTTGGAAGAGACCTCAAGATCATCGAGTCCAACCTCTGACCTAACGCTAACAGTCCCCACTAAACCATATCCCTAAGCTCTACATCTAAACGTCTTTTAAAGACTTCCATTCATTTCTCTTCTTTTCCTTTCTTGAAAGCACCAGTTTTATCACCTCCAGAGAGCTCGCTCTTTGCACGGCGACAACGAGGATATTGGCTAAAGGAGCTGCAGCGCTCCCTTGCAAGCGTCGATTTTTCTCCACCTTCTGGTTTCTTTATCAGCATCTCGATGAGGAAAGAATGAAAACAAAGCACAAGGCAAGGAATGCTTCTCCAGCGCCACCTCCCGCCCCTGCTGCTGACCCGCGAGTGCAGGCTCCCCAGGAAGGCCTCTGCACTGCTCTGCGGGCTCCCCAAGCTTGTTCTTTCCTCCCTCTGCACCAGGGACCTCCAGGCAGTGTCAGATGTGCACACAGAGCATATTCCTGCGCTGTCTTTTATTTTGTTCTCGCCCAGTCTCTTTACAGAAAGTATATATTTTATAGTCTTCCAATGTAATAGACTGGCCTGCCAAACAAAGTGCTGGGTTTGTTTGTTGTTTTGGGTTGTTTGTTTGGTTTTGTTTTTTGTTTGGCTGGTTTGGTTTGTTTGTTTTTTTTTTTTGGGGGGGGGGGGAGAATTGGTTTTGTTGAAGAATCTGTTTTTTGGTTTGTCTTTTTTTGTTGTTTGTTGTTCGGTTTTGTGGGTTTTGTTTGTCTGTTTGTTTTTGTGGTTGGTTGGTTGCTGTTGTCTGTTTGTTTGTTACTTTAAGACAGAAAAAGAAATTTTGTGCATAAGATAAGAAAGTAAGTAAAAGCTGCTAAGCTCTATGTGTTCATTGCCTCACTGGCAACAGGCCTAACCTAGCAAGCAAAATGCATGTTATTAGGAAATGCTATGATGGAGGTTTTAGATAACTATTTAGAGATAATGTTGCTGAGGATGGAAAGTACACAGGAAAGGGCTGCAGTAGTCACTGTAATAAATGGGAGAGAGGTAGCTACATAACAGCAGAGACGGTCTACCAGCATTAAAAGTGCAGTAGTTCAAACCATGCAAGAAAGGAAGGTAGGAGTGAGAGAGAGGCAGATGTGAGAGAGGCAAGGTGATCACAGGAAATGGCAGAGATCATGACTTGACAAGGAGTGGAAGTGGTAGAGATGCACTGTGCTCAGGATGGGAGTCTGAAGCTGTGGTATAAAACTGAATATTGCTTGCTTGAGGGACAGGAGGAAGAGTGATGGTAGGTCTGTTTTCATTTGAGTTCATGTCCTGTGCAGAACACCTGCAAATGCCTTAGGCTGGTGGATAAGTTGGTCTTCTTGTTTTGTTTAGTTTGCTTTTAATGGACACAGCTTGCCATAAAAATGTATCTGATACAATAAAGAAGACCAGGCTTGGGACTTTCCATGTACTATGAAATCATTCACAGGATTGGCTAATTTTCACTTGGACATCTTTTCTTACGTATTTGAACATTTTGCAGGGGAAAATCTCTGGATTTTGTTCATTCTCCTTGCTGAGGCATCTGAGCATGTCATACATTAATCACAGAGAAGAGAGGTAAAATAAGGAAATGCTGTTATCCTGTGAGGCATGGGCAGATGTGGCTTGCTCAGAGAGGGTCTGCCGTGACCAGCTCTCAAGCAAACACACCAGCTACAGGCCTGTTGTGCTCATGATTGCATCTCCCTTGCTCTTTCCTGCAGCAACATAAAGCTGAGATCTGTGCTGATAGCCACTGAAAGAGGCAACCCCATGGTTAATTTATGTTTGCTTAAACGACTGCTACCCAATTTCATTTAGCACCTGTAAGTCTGAGCATGTTAAGCTGAAGTGCTTCCTGCGCAGTCTTGCCCTGTGCTCATGAGCGGCATTTTGCAGTGTGTGGCTTGGGTCCAGGTCCTGCTTTCAGGTGCAGCTGGATAAGTCAGTTCTGCCCAAAGACTTGTCAGGCTTTTCCTCCCTTAAGCCTTAGTTGCTTGCTCAGATGCTTGTTTGTTTTGTATGCTGCTGTACAGTTTATCCTTTTTGTTTTACTTCAGAATTTATGAAATTGTAAGTAAGGTTTTCTTGTTTGTTGTTGTTTTTTTTTTCTTGTTGTTTTGGTCTTGTGGTTTTTTTTGGGGGGGGGTTGCTTGTTTGTTTCAATAACGTATATATATACATATATACATATATATATATATACACACATATATGAAATACTTCTGTACATGTGCTACTGATCTGATGTAACCCTACCTGGATTTCTTCTTGACAACTTCTTGATGACATCAAGTTCAAAACAAATCATTTCAAGTAGTACATGTGTTACAGCAACACACTGAGGCAAGTTTATGTATTTTTCATACCACAAGAGTCTTTCAATATCTGGTACAAATGACTCATTGCAGATTCAGCTGGTTGTTGTCTTCTTATAATAGTAAACTCAGTCTCTTCCTCAGTTGCTGTGTGGTACTTTGCATTTCTGGTTATGTCCCATTAAGTGTAGAAGAATGAAGGAAGCGATGCTCACGGTGGCTGGAGCACTCTTAGTCCTACCAGCATCGCTCTCCTTTTTCAGTAATGTTTGGGTTAGGTTTAGGACCTGCAGCACTCTGCCTGGCAGAAAAGCACATCGCTGTTTGTAAGGGTGGGAAATTCCAACCTCCTCATTGATTTATTTACTATGTTTTACAAGGGACCACCAGCACGTATAAATGCTGTAACTTCTTTTAATGATCTCAGTCTGAAGCAGTTGTGATGCTTGGAAGTGAATGAATTTTCCAGGGTGCCCAGCACCCTCCTGGGGCAGGACTGGGGGTATGCAAGGGGAGGTGGGCTCAGCTAGGTGCCAACATTGTGACCCATCCGCACACTAGGCACATCCTTTTACCTGCCCAGGGGTGCACAAGAGGAACTGGAGAAGGGCTGATGTGCAGACAGGGAATTGAAGCAGGAGTCTGGCTGCTTGTGCCGGGAGCTCCTGATGGCAGAGATGCTCTCTTAGTCTGAGCTGCCATACTTGCTGACTGAAAGAAACTATAGTGCAAGTAAAAGGGGCAGAAGTTAAGGCTTTTCTTATTTTTGCAGCAAGCTTATCTGGAGCTGCATTATGCCTGGGGGAGCATACACTGAAGTCAATGCCATCCTGCCTTAGCTGCTCTGAACGCAAGCTGGATGGATTCAAAATGCTCACACATGGTGCAACTAGTCCTCCCACTCACAGTAGGGCATGCCCTGTATCCCTTTATTTTCCTTCCAGAGTATTGCTTCATTATTATGCTAAATTGCAGAAACATCACAAATGTTTCTTCATCATTCTTAATAGCTGATTAAGTAGTTTTACCCTTACGTACTCCAACAAGCCCTGTTTAGCAAGGCTATGTGTGTTAATTAATTCTGATGCACCCTCTTGGGTTTGACTTCTCTAATGAGAGTGCAGCGAGTCTGTTGTATCTAGATAGTGAAGCACTTCAGAGGTTCCAGCAGAAGATTAGAAGATCCACCTACACTCTTGGCCTGTGCCTGTCATGCACCCTTCGATTGTGGTGTAATCAGTTTTTTCCAGCACTGAACTACTGGAAGCCTCGTGGTTAAATACAAATTTGATCATAGAGTTTACATTCCACAGATGATTCAAACAATTTAAAATGAACTTGACTGGGCTTTTTAACCTTTCTACCAAGTTATGCAGACTGTTTTTACTGGCAGGAGGCTTTATGGTTGGGGTAAAAAAATGAAACAAAAAGAGTCAATCATTTTATCTTAGCTGAGTCACCAACTCACTGTGTGAACGGTACAAAGCCCTTAGTCTCTCCTGACTTACTAACTAGTTTATTTTTCTAATTTATGAGTAAGCTAGGAGTCAAATACACCACTTGAAAGATGATTTTCTTGTTAAATCTATGTCTTCTTTTCAAAAGATTATCCAAGCATGGAACATATTGCACAATGCTGAGAAACAACCCAGACATGCTGGGAATACCCTGATGATTCCTGTTATGAGTCTTCCAAAATGTGAACTGCGCTATTAGTACACATACAACATGCTTAATACTGCCAGCTGTTCTTGAAAGTCCACTACAGCTTGCATGGGTTTGGTCATGGCTTTTATTTTCTCAGAATTCATTCTTTTCTCAAGGAGGGGAGACTTTCAGATAATGATCTTATCTTTTCTTCAGGGCAGAATCATAAAATTTTAGAGCATGCAAGTTGAGCAGGTAGCAAAGGCATGCTCGGCCCAATGGTGTCACTGGACTAGTCAGAATTTAAAACCAGATTCTGCATATAATTCTATTCGTTTTGAGTCAATTCTGTAACTATTCTAGCTCTTGCCTTTCTGTCATTCCTGAGAGCTCTCTGTTTCAAAAATCATGGTATGAAGAATTGTACCCTATATGGCTGAGTCAGTGATACTGACACAAAACTAAATATTTAACAAATTTATACTTCTGCAGAAGACATCTACTCACTTCTTGGATTCCTCAGTTCTGTTGATGATCATTTTGACACCAAGAATAATCATTCCATAATATTGAAGATACAAAAATAGACTTAATTTTAGTTTATAGAACTCTTGTGCACGTGACTTACAAACACTGTATAAAGAGACCAAAAAACACAAGGCCTGTTCAAAACCAAAAAGAGCCATTAATTATCCAGGAATACCTCAGCCTCCTTCAGAGAGCAGATGCCATTTTGTATGCTATTTCATGGCCAAAGTATAAGGGAACTATTTACTGCTTTAACTGTTGTGTGCTTTGTAATACGTCATTGTTTATTGCTTATCCTTAGATGGATATTGAGGTAATACCCATCCAAAATGAAAAGACACTAACTAAGTCTCCAGACCATAATTTTGACAAAAGCCTCAAGCATTCCCACAGACTGTGGCTTGACTGATATGCAATGCTCCTTTTAGTAACTTCTTTGTGAGCACGGCCCATGTGTTGCCAGCTGGCTGTGGAAAAGAGGCATGCCACAAATAATATTAGTGTTTGATTAAAAATGCTCTGACAAGAATAGAATGGTTGCAATACCAGGCATCATGACTGAAGTTATTATTTAACTCTTCTGTAATAAATAAATAAATAAATGCAAGAAATAACATCTTACCGACTTTTGACTTCTTTATTCATGTCAGCAGCACTTGGCCTCCAGTGGAGGTGCAGAGATGGGCTGAAATCACACCCTTAAGTCAAGATGCTGCCTTTCCATTTCAGGGACTTTGGAGGACAGGCTGTCCACATGTCCACAGCTCCACACTGCCTCCCACAGCACAGAGCAGGGTGCCTTGCCAGGCAGGGACTGGCTAGGGGAAGCCTGAGTGCAACATGGGAAAGGGAGGTGACAGCCTTGGAGAGAAACAGAGAAAAAGAAACGGGTACCTGTAGATTCCACACTTAATTTAGATGTTAATTGGTGTACTCACTTACCTTTGTTGAGATTCAGAAATGAATGAGCAAATAATAGTGTTAAATAAAAGTTATGTAAATAGCAGTGAAGACATTGGCTCAGTGAATGTGCAGGGTGTCCTATTGAACTGGTGACTAGACACAAGCTAGATGGGTCCTAACTGAGGTATCTGTACAATCTTCTATTACCCAGAGAAAACAGGATCGTCATTTAGCCCTTCAGTGGGAGCAGCACTGATTATCTGACTCTACCTTTTACCTTACATCAGCTGCCTCTATAGAATTTTACAGGAGTTTGTGTATTTAAGGGCCATTAAAATGGTATGCCATGGGTCTTTTTTGGGTGATTTTTTTTTTTTTTTCTGAAAAAACATTGGTGCTACAATTGTTCGTGAAAATGTTAAGTGAATGAATGTGGGAATCATTGTGGGAGTGGGGGCAGAGGGTGGAAAGAGAGTGGGTGGCAGAGGAGGAAAAGAAAAACACTGCATTCAGATTTCAACAACACAGGAAATACAGATACAATAGGAATGCTGAAAGATATAATGGAGTATATAGAGTGTTCTCTATTGTGAAATTATCATGTCTTTGCAGGCTTATTCATTATGTATTTTACACCTTTTTGCAGATCATCCCTTTATCTCAAAGGTTACAACAACAAGCACTAGCTACTGTCTGAAGCCTGGGAAATAGACTTTTTTACTTAGCAGGGTTGAAAGAGATGTTACACTAACAATTTTACTGCTGGGCATAGGAAAATAACTTTTGTTTTGCATCTTTTAAAACTAAATATATGTTTACCTGTGCGCTGCAATGCACTGGGTGTAGGTATAAAAAATATCCGATGGTGTCATCACGAGTTATAACAAACACTTTCTTGAAAGAGTGCCAAGTCCCAGGCAGTGCTGCAGCCCGCCTTTCTCAGAGACAGGCAGCGTGTTATTGCAGAACGGGTGGTCCCACAGCTGCCTCCCACAGGGTTCCTGTGATTTCTGGAGTCAACACAAGGAGCATCACGCTAGGCTGGATCAAAATCAGGAGTGACACCACTTGATGTGCCCTGTCTCCCCATAGGAAGTGTTGTGATGGGTGGTTCACCGAACTTTCCAGTCACAAAGTGGGGTAAGAGTGATGCCAGCTTTGTCATGGCTACCCAATGGACACTCTGGCCTGCTAGCAAACTGGGGACTTCAGTTTACTTATCTCTACTGAGCCTGTGCATCTGGCAGATCATAAGACATCATGAGATCCACTGGGAATCTTTCCCATGGGGCACTACACAGACCCTTAAGAGCAGCTTTTGAAGTCTCAGATCCCTTGGGAGAAATCCAGATCCCTTGTCACTTCCCTGTGGAGCAGATAAATCACTGGCTGGAAGAAGTAAAATGCTCTTCTTGCTGTGACCTGGGCCCACTGCAGTGGCTGCCAGCCAAGGGTGCTCTTATAACCCACCTCATCATCTGCACAGATGATAGGAGAGGTGCCAGCGTCGCTCCTGCCATGAACCACCATCAGCACCACCCAGGGCTGCACCCCCTGTGGGAAACAAGGAGCAGTAGGACAGCTCAGACAGAACCCTTTGTGATGGAGATGTCCTGTTTTACAAGGGTTCTTGCCACTAAGGGTGGTTGCAGCTGACAGGAGAATCCTGCCCCAAGAAATGCAGTTGCAGCATGTCCAGGCCCCTCTGAAGAGTCTCACAGGAGCATGCCTGTGGCCCAAAGCACTTCCCCTCCTTATCACACAGGCTGGCGTTACAGCCCTGCTGCAGCCCCTGGTGGTGCTGGTGTGAGCATTTGGGAAATGGTGACAATGTAGTTTTTTGTGTAGATTTGCTGCTTTGTTTTTTAGGTGTGATGCTGTGCAACTGTGATGACAGAAGATTCAGAAGGAGGTCTGAGGGACAAGAGGAAAAAAAGAAAAAAAAAAAATGATCAAGATCTGGGAAACAAAAGGAAGAGAAGTCCTCAGAGAACTACAAAGTGTTACTAGCATTAAAGCAAGGGAAAAGTGAAGGCCTATTTCTGCTGTAACCTTCCTGGGTACAACAGGTCACTTTTGATTTCTCAGACAAATTCTACAGTTTCTAGTGTCCTCTGATTTCAAAGCATTTTTGAAGGTGGAAAAACATCGCCCACATTTAATTCATGGGAAATAGCAGCTGGAAGATCTGCACAAGGTCACAAAGCAAGTGAATTTCAGAAGCTGGAAAGAAAATAAACTAGTGTGATTTTCAGTATCTTTCCCTGATCACTGGCTCTCTCAGCTTTCCCCTGGGAGACATCTGCTCTCATTGACTCTTCAGTCACAGGACAGGCTCTTCCTACTTCTGCATCTAATAGGAGATGGAAACAGTCTTCTGTCTGCATCCCACTTCAATCACAGCTTTTAAGCCTGCACCAGCTCTTCCCAAGACTAATAGTGCTTCCCTGAGAGTGCCACTTGGTCTGCAGAATGCACAATAGGATGAGCTCATTGCTTTCTGTAAAAACTCTCAGAGAAAGAAGGACAGCAGCTTATTGCCATAATAAAGGTCAAAACACTGTTTTCTTATATTCACACTGTGTTTTTAGAAAGATCACGAATTCCTGATCACAAAAATAATAAATCTCCATGAGAATGTTGAGACTTCATCCTGCAAGCAGTTTACATTTTTAAGCTATTCTCAGTCGCACTAAGATTTCACAGTCTTAATCAACTCTTGATTTTAATTAGTAAGTATAATTCATCTGTTACAAAGTCCACAGGCTACTAATGAAATTAGGATGGTCCTTTGTATTGCATTGCCTGCTACAAGCTCTAAGCAGAGCTTAGCACACAAAGATCCTCAGCACACAAAACAAGCAATTAAAAAGCATTTTCTCTTAGATACCAGCACTGCTCAAGAACTGTTCAACACCTTGCAGGATGCAGGACTCCAGGTGCACACTTGTATGCTAAATCTTCTGCTTTATCTGTTAGAATGGGTCCAGAGGAGGTCCACAAATATGATCAGAGGGCTCGAGCACCTCTCCTATGAAGAAGGCTAAGAGAGCTGTGGATTTTCAGCCTAAAGAAGAGAAGGCTCTGGGGTGACCTTATTGCAAATTTTCAGGACTTAGAGGAGGTTTATAAAAAAGAAATAGAGAGCAACTTTTTGCTCAGGCAGACAATGACAGGACAAGGGGAATGGTTTTAAACTAAAAGAGGGGAAATTTAGATTAGAGGTTAAGAGGAAGTTTTTCACTCAGAGGGTGGTTAGAGGGTTAGGGTTGTCCAGAGAAGCTGTGCATGCCCATCCATGAAGGTGTTCAAGACCAAGTTGGATGAGGCTCTGGGCAACCTGGTCTAGTGGGAGATGTCTGTGTCCATGACTGAGGGTTAGAATCAGATGATCTTTAAGGTCCCTTCTAACCTAAGACATTCTATGATTCTGTGATTGTAACAAAGATCCCTATCCTCACCAGAGCACCCCTGAAGCCCAAAACTCCTTTACTACAGCTGGCACTGCCGGGCCTTCCTTTCTCCAGAACCCAGACCCAGGGAGCTGCTGCCTGCTGTCACCCATGGCTTGTTCAGGTCTGATATCTCTACAGGAGAATTGCTCTGCTGCATTTTGCCAGGTGATTTCACAAGGTAGGTAGCAAAACAGGGACTGCCGGTGTCTCTGATACAGGCAAGCCTCCAGAAAATAGAAGAAACTGATAGAGACCAAGTCCCCAGAATGGAACATCTGGCAGAAAGTAGCAGAAGACCACACCTGGGGTGGCCAAACAACTCCTTGTTACTGTCAGGAGAACAAGTCCTTGGAAATTTCTTTTTAATTTAGACACATGAGCATTGTCTGTTGTGCTTAACCTACTTTTGTCTGGTAGTACTGTGTCTGAGCATTAGAGGATCACAGCTTCCCCCTCTTCCAACTCGAGCCAGAAGAGAAGGAATATTCTGACCCACACAGTCCCAGCAATAACGGAAGTTGGAGCTCATTGCCATGACACTGCACATCTTCCACATCACTCCAGAAAGAGCACTCTGACCGTATGATCTAGTTGGTCAAAACCCACTGGTGCTAATGAGCGGAAATAGGTGGTGGGTGAGAAAAATGGGAAGGTCAATGGTGCTCTAGGAGCTGCATCAGGAAACAGGCGGGGCTGGAAGCTGGCAAGGAACATGCTTGTTTCTCCTACAAGTCATTAGTCTTCTGTTTGTCATAATAGGAAGAAAATGAATAGGGCATTAGAATAAGGCTTTAATCCTTATTAATGTTGGATTTAGCCAATAACACATGGCAGCATTTGTAGGGATTTCCACGCCAGTAACAACAACCATCACATTATCACTGCAGGTTGAATGATCTACTGTACAGATCTTTTGTCTTTTTTTTTTTATTTTTATTGCAAATATGTTTAAGAAATAAAAACTCTACCATGCACAGGATTCTTCCTATGCATAAGATTTCTGTTCTATACCCTCAGACAAATACTGATGTAATGAAAAGACATAGAAATAAAATTCTAAGGCATTGGGAACATGGAATCATAACAATAGTACTGCATTTGTAAACCTCTGTCAAATTCATTTGACTTTTTGATGGGAAACCACTTGCTCTTTCATATATATATCTTTTCCAAGCTTTAATTTCAAGCCAAATGTTTCCTTGGCCAGTATTGTGTTATGTTCAAAGAACAGGAAAGTATATGCATTTGAACTCCTCTGCTAAAATCCATGAAAGACAAAATGAAAACATGACAGCTTACAAAATCTGAGTGCAAATAAGAGAGACTAAAACATTTATCTAGATTTCCTTCCTAGCTACAGAGAAGGCAATCATTACAGGATCCAATGGAAAACAAATAAACAAAACAAAACAAACAAACAAAACCATGATTTCAAACTGAATTATTTTGCAAAGTATTATTTATTTATTTATTTATTTTAAAGGGTTTTGGTTAAGAACAGATCCAGGTAGCCTGCAATGATGATAGTGGCTTAAAAAATGTTCAGCAAAGAACAGTGTTGCTATTTGGAATAGTCAGA